CCACCTCGGGCGGGCCCTGGGGGCCACGCGCCCAGACAGCGTTTCCGACTCGCGCCTCTACGACCGCTCCCCTTCCAGGCCGCGGAAGCCGCACTCGCGCCAGGACGGGCGGGGCGGCTGGGACCGGCCGAGCTACGGGCTGGACGCCTACGGCTACCGGCAGACCTACTCCTTGCCGGACAGCGCCGCGCAGCCGTGCTACGAGCCGTTCACCTTCCAGAGCCTGCCCGAGCGGCCGGAGCCCGCCTGGCGCGTGCCCTACTGCGGCGTGCCGCCGGACCCCCCGCGGTACCCCGACAGCCGCGAGAAAATTTACGTCAACCTGTGCAACATCTTCCCGCCTGAGCTCGTGAGGCTCGTCATGAAGAGGAACCCTCACCTGACGGACGCCCAGCAGCTGGCCGCGGCGATCCTCGTGGAGAAATCGCAGCTGGGTTATTGAAAGATGATGCATCTTCGTGGTGTTTAGTCGTCTTTTGTTCAGCTCAAATGCTGAGGGAGGTTTGCTACAATAGCACATGTGATCTCCTTCCAGCAAGGAGGTTATATAGTATCCATTTATGTGAGCGACTGTATCATGGAACCTGTATGTGTAGCCCCACCTGGTGGAAGTATCACGGCATTGCTTTACATGGAAACCTCTTTTTAAACATTTCCTTTTCAAAGCTATCTCCTTGGCTGGAAATTTTTCCAGTTTGATTTCATAGATGTATCTGTGATCTTTGATATGAATCTTTGGTGCATCAGGGGTTTATACGCAGCACTTTTTATCCTTGTTTCATGTTTTATTAACTTGGTGTTTGTCTATCAACCGCAAGCAATGGCAACACCTTCAGAATGTGGAGCATTTGACTAGACCTAGCAAACTATTTTTTCAAGCCAAGCTTAATTAGACTCTTTTACAGCTTTTTAAGTTATTTTTATTTGGGGGAAGTGGGCTTCTTTGTGCTATAATCATTATTTATAGAAACAAAGATAAACTACCGCACTGACTTTATATTTTACACAGAATATAAGTTACCGGTTTATGTTGAAATGGGTAACAGTATATATTAGGATGATTTGCAGTATGGCACTTTTCATTGTGTTGTTTTTGTTTGGATTTTTTCTGTTAAGAAATTAGTTAATTTAATGTGGTCGATTTAAAAGAAAGCAGATGCAATCAATGGAAAAAAATTGTTTCCATCTTTTTTTTTTTTTTTTTTTTTTTTTTTTTTAATGACTAAGGCAGAAGCCGTAACTGTTACAGGTTGGAGCTTTGTTATCCAGCTATGATGTGCTTTCTAGACAGTAGAAACGAAATTGAATTCCTGGGTTTTCATCAACCTGTATTTTTAATATGTCTGTCTTTTTGTTTGGGGGCACAACCCTACTGGATAAAATAACCCTTTCACAGTACTTGCCTGTTTTTAATGAATCTAATTATTCTCAATGCAACTTTTATATTGAATATAGTCTTTAGCTTTCCTGCTATTTATCGAGGCTGGCCTGAGGTGGTTCTATGTGTTGAGGATATGCAACGCTTATTGATACTGCACTATAGAAATGGTGATGGAGGAGCTGTAAAGGGTAACTTTAAACTTTTTGTAAGATATTGTATATTTTCCATTTTCCTGAAGGTAGTTTTTTTGGGGGGCCTGTTATATTATTAAGGCCAGATTCTTGCCACAAATAGTGTAGTTTTAGATACAGACTGAAGTCTGTTCTAGTATTAGTAAGGGATATTTCTGGTTTAAAAGTCATGGGTTTTGCTAGCTGCGAATATTTTTCTGTGGATTAGAAGAGAGATCTTGCAGTCAGTGGCAGACAGTTGTCTGACCGACATCGTTCAACTGTTGCCTCCAGATTGTGAATTTTACTTAGTGTAACAGATGCATTCAGATCTGTTTTGTAGTCTGCCTAGATGTCCTGGTTATTCTGAGGATTCTACATGCTGCAGTTTGAAGTAAAGCCCTGAAAAACCAGAAAGTACCTTTTACTGTTGATACAAATTGTATCTTTTTAACTATAAGAACTATTTTGATTTGTAGATCTAGTTAAAACACAAGTAACTATGATTAGACTTTTGGGCAACATTTTATCCCTTATTTAAATACAAATTTTTAAAGTAAAATTGAGCTCTAGAATAGGTTAGAAAATAAAAGTAACAACTTAGGTAAATAAAAAGTGTCTGTCTTAGTTTTATATAACATAGTAAAACATATTAAATAAATTTATTGGCATTTCCTTTCTCCTAAAACTTATCTAGTGTGAACCTAACTTAAAATAAAGGTAAAATGCTGCCTGAAAATAATGTCCAAGCACCTTTGACTAGGATAACATTTTCACTACTCGTGTGACACCGTGTGTTGCATGAAGTAGGATTTGGGTATACAGTAAATGCTTCTAAAAGGCATTGTGCATATTGACATATCCAATAATCTGAACCGTGTTCAGCAAACTTCATTCAGGAAAGTGGTGTTCTACACAGTTACTGCTGTTGTGTTTGAAATGAGCGTCCCTCATCTGTACCCAGAACGAATATGGGTGAGGCCATGCAGACCATTCTGAGTGGTGTCTGTCTGAGGGCAACCTACTCACGTGTGAAACTGTTCTCCCTGATTCCGTTGGTCACTATCTATGGAGCAAGTCTAAATGTAGAGGCTAACCCAGTGCCAAAAAGAGGGTTACAAACGTGTAATACCTTTTATTTTAGTCATAGTCTGAGACCTTTTTGGGGGGGGGGGACGAAATCACTTAAACTGTACGTGTAGATTTTGCTTCCATTTTCTTCATCTTGGCATTTTAGTGATTTGAAGATCTGCCAAACCTTACTAAATGTATTTAAACGAGATCTGTGGTGAAATCTGTGTGCCACCCTTCATTGGTTTTCATTGGACCCTCTAACGTTTTGAGCTGACTGTCATGGCTTTGTGGATTTTAAACTATGGAAAAATCGTGTCACCAGCTGCCACCTCTGCTGAAGTGAATAGCTCTCATCCTTCAGTATAATGAGGAGTTCAAAATGAGCAGTTTTCTTATGTCAAGAGGACAGACAGTATGCCCACTGTTGTTGAAGCACTGATGTTGCTTTTAGGGCTTTAGAGGGAGATAATTGGCGACTTCAGGTACAGCAAATTCTTATTTATCTAAAGCAATAAGTAAAAGGAGTCCATCATTAAGTTAATCCATAGCTGATCACAAACCTTCATCTTAGCCGAAACTTTCTCTCTAATCAAATCTCTTACCAGAATTGCGAATAAAATAACCAGAGAGAGGTATATTAATAAGTGAAATTGCCAAAGTAGTCAACTGGTAGAAGAAAAGGATTCAAACCGGAATATCTTGGCCCTGAATAATTGACAGTTGACTGTACTTTACACAGTAATTAGCCAGTCTGTTGTCTCTGTGTCTTAGTCCAGAGGGAATAGTACCCACCTGGCCAAATACTGGCCCTTAGTATTCCCTCCTTTCTTGCATGTGATACAGACGTTTTCAGTCTTGCTTTTATGATCTCTATATCCTGGTATAGAGTTTGTCATTTACCTAAATATTTGACGGAAATGCACACCAGTATGTGTTTGGTACTGGTGGAAACTTGAACTTTGTGTTTTTATGGAGATTCATTTATGAGAATATGTAATATAACAAAAGAGAATTTTATATTATATATATATATATACACACACATACATATTTGTTATGAGGTATTAAAAATGGGGGAGGGGGTGCTTTTGATGGCTAACTTTTCCCTGATTGAACTATGTTTCTTTGAGTTGTGGACGACCAAGTCTGAGGTCTGAATGGCCAATGATAAGATTTAGAACCACTTGAATGGGAAAAAAGCAGTTATTCACTGGTTTTATTCTTGGTATTTTTAAAGAATTATTTTGATAACTTTAATAGAGTGTGTAATTTTAAAATACACAAAAAACCTTAAAGTAGTAGTATTGATTATATAAATAATTATTTAACATGTCTTTTGTGGATGTATCTATATGTATATAGACAGTAATATATTTATAAAGCAAATATACTTTGATTATGTTGTAACTCTTAGTCTGTGACAGGTGGGAGGGGGTGTGTGTGTGTGTGTGTGTGTGTGTGTGTGTGTGTGTGTGTGTGTTTTGAAAACTCTCAAGCTCGTTTCTCTCATTTACAATGGCATTTACTCCAAAGTATGTTTGGTTTTCATGATCCTTTATGCTCTCTGGCCTCCTTATTCAAGACAAAATAAGATGTACAGTTGTACAGTTTTCTGGCCATCCCGTTGGTGTATGGCTCATCCATTTTGTTGTCATCTAACTCCCAGAGAATCCCTGCATGACCTGAAATCAAACAGGTCACAGGTAGATATTATGCTTACATTCCCAATATATTGAAGTTAAGCTTCCAACATACCTACAAATAAAATGAAGTGTCAAAAAAAAGAGAGAGAGGGAGAGGGATTACACACATGCACTGGAATACGAGAAAGCAGATTGTCAATAAAATTAGAAAAAACGTGTGCATTATTTTAGTTGGTCTAGGAAAGCCCTTGAGGGCAGGTGTTGACAAACTTTTTCTTTAAAGGATCAGATAGTAAATAATTTAAGCTTTAGAATCATATGGTCTTTAAAATGACTCACCTCTGCCTTTATAGCATAAAAGCAGCCACAGATAATAGGTAAATGAATGAGTGTGGCTGTGTTTCAATAAAACTTTATTTGCAGAAAAGGCAGCAGGCCAGATTTGGGAGCCACGCTTTGCTGATCCCTGCCCTAAAGGCAAAAAACCAGGCATAGTGAGCGGTAAATCCCGATAAGGGTTTTTTAAAAAATAATAATTGCATTTCAGTTGACAGTCAAAGTAAATCCTATGGTTATTGATGTCCTTCAAATGAGGACTGTGAGATAGTCGTATTAGAGCGTCTGAACTCATTTATGTTTTTCACCTGTTCATACCCATTATTTATTGAGGTATTTTTCTGTGTTTAAACACAAAGCATTCTGTAAAAAGGTGTTTTAATAAACATTGAAGTTGTTTCATGAACTTTTCATTTCTATTGATAAATTGGAAACTGTCACCAACCTTTGTTTTTGACTGGCCTCCTGGACCAAAAGAAAAACAAAAATCTGTTGTATTTTGAAAATTAGCATATACTTAGCCACAAATAGTTTAATGACAGCACTTACCAGTTACATTTTTCTGTTGGTTTTACCTTCTAATAAACGACAGTTCTGCCCTTCTTAGAAATGGTTTTAAAGGAGGTAAATATATTGTAATTTTACATATTATAGCATTATTCTGTAAGATTTTAAATTGTGACTAGTATCATTGTAGCTATAATGTGAGTGTATCTGTTACAACGTGACTCTATAAGAAACAGAGTGTATCCCTGCTTTCTCTGTCCAAACCTTTAGTATAGGTTTTTTAGACGCCTTGGGACTGTCCATGGCGAATGATGTGTTCTTAATATGATCACATGTAATTTTGAATTCATTGGAAGTACATGCCGCTGAGCATGTCTGTTCACAGTGCTTTGTACCTGGTGTTATGTCAATAACATCATTTTCATAAGAACATTAAATACTTGTGAAGATCAGCATTCACTTAAGTAGTTCTACTTTCTTCTGAAGTTGGAATACAACTCTAGCTTTTAACGGTGTTCATTGTTTTTTAAGTAGTGACTTAATTTTTTTTAGTGCTTCCTGTTAACTTGCTTATGATGCCTGTTCGAATAATACTATGATGTATTAGAAGTGACTTTTCCCCTAAGATCTCTGGTCTCTCAGATTTAAAAACTAAAGTTTCAACCATTTGGGAGTAGAAGATGTCTGTGCATGGTTTAATTTAGTTTTATAAAATCTGTAGTTTCACTTCTTGAATCGTGTACCAAATTTTCCAATTTTCTGTTGAAATACTTCAGATGAATCACCAAATGTCCATTAAAATTTTTGCCACCTTTCTTAAAGCAGCTTAGGGAAAAAGATATTGAAGAGCAAGGTTTGTCTTTAGGAAAAGTATGTTTTAGATTTCTCTTAGGTTTTTGAAGGTATAAATTTTCCATCTTATATGAAATATGCATAAAATGCCAACTTCTGCAGAGTCATAGCATTTCATTGTGTGTTACGTTATTGATCTCGTCTCTTCTTTTTAGTTTTTTGGGTTTTTTTTTTTTACCCCCTCTCCCAAACCATAGCTATGTGCCAGCAGAATCTCTGACTTGATTCTGCAAACTGTTCCTATAGGAAAAGTACGGCAAAGAACGTTTAGAGCAGCCATCTATCTGATAAACACTGCTGCTATTCTGTTTTATCTTCTGCGTGTTTCTGTAATGGAATTTTTACAAGTCTAAGAGCAGTATTTTAGACCTACTGGAAATCCATTTCAAAACACCAAAGTGATTCTGTCACTGAGAAAAGAAACTAAAAAAATTAATTTTTCTTACGGTGGTTTGTTTTTGTTTCATGAAGAAATTGACCTCATGACAGCGTAGATGCCAAATAAATAAAAGCATCTTCTTTAGTTGGCCTGCATTCAATAGCTGTTAACATTATGGGCATCTTGTAAGAAAAGCACATGTTCTGTATCAATGTATTAGAGCCATAGTTAACTCCTATGAAAATCGAAATTAAACATCAAAGACATCTGCTCATAACTTTAGACGTTGAGCGTGTTTTTTCCTAATCTGTCATTAAGGTGTTTGTTGCTGGTGGTTTTGAGCTGTCATCAGGTGTGTGGCTAAGACCATGCTGATAAGGACCTTGGCCAGGGAGTACATGAGAAATGCTAGTTGGCATGGTGTTCTCTTTGTGTCAGATGATGAAAAAACATTGAAAGCCTTGTCTCGGCAGGGTGGTGTGTACCAGGATTGTCACTCACAGTGAGCACCGAAGCGCGTGATGCCCCCGTGCCTGTCAGGGCGCAGAGGGTGTGTGTGACTCCCTTCAAGTTCACCTCCTTGTAGTCAGGCTGGAATCTACAGGGCAGAACAGTCAATAGGAACACAGACTCTTTCTAAAACAGATGGAAAAGATCTGATGGAACAGCAGTGGGAGTTTTTATCTCTTTGATAGTTGCTGGGAAACTTGGTCACTGTGAGGAAATGTTCTACATCCGAAGAAATTTCTGCACAGATCGGAAGAGATTGCAGACAGTTGTCAGATCCCCACTGCCTGTGTTTGAATCCCGGGAAATATATATATGAGCCACACAGTGTGTAGAATTGGGGCAAATGCTCTTCCAGAGTCTTCAGGCACAGTTGAGAAATGGAGCGAATGTTCTCACAGGCTTCTGGTCACCTACTGCATGGTGGCGGGCCTGGGAACC